TATAGTGACCTACTATGGATATTTATATAGTGACCTACTATGGATATTTATATCGTGACCAACTATGGATATTTATATAGTGACCTATGGATATTTATATAGTAACCTATGAATATTTATATAGTAGCCTACTATGGATATTTATATAGTAACCTACTATGGATATGTATATAGTGGCCTATAGATGTTTATATAGTAACCTATGGATATTTATATAGTGACCTATGGGTATTTATATAGTGACCTATGTATATTTATATAGTGACCTACAATGGATATTTATATAGTGACCTATGTATATATATATAGTGACCTACTATGGATATTTATATAGTGACCTACTATGGATATCTGTATAGTGACCTGCTGTGGATATTTATACAGTGACAGGTATAATTGGTTAGTGGGGTTTAAAGCCCATCAGATTACATTAGGGTCATTAAGGTAAACTTCTCACCACTAGACAAAAATACTTGTGAAACCAGTCATCCTAATACTAGGAACTACTGTAACAGTAATTATAATTAAACAACCATTGTTATTTGCATCACTAGTATGAAAGCACTATTATAAACAGTAGTAATATTAGTGATAGTAGATCTTGCAATTGTAATAGTAATGGAAATAAGTCACTCTCTGACTTTTTTGGGTTATCCCAGGTTCTCTACACATATGCTGCTATGTATGATAATTCTATGTAACTGTATTTGTGTATACCTGAATTAACTTACTAAGAGAACTGTAATGATAGTAGAACTATTTCTACTTTTACTAGTGAAATTTTACTACATCTACAGTGGTAATTTTAATGTTAATAGTAACAGCAGCCTTAGCTGGGTTAGTTATGATGGTTGTAGTCATAGTGGTTGTAGTAGTAGTAGCAATGCTAGTAATTGTGGTAGTAATAAGAGTACCAATAATAATGGTAGTAAAAAATGGTACTGATAATGGTGGTAGTTCTAGTACTACTACCACCACTAGTAATGGTGGTAGCATTAGTAATTGTGGTAAGACTAGCAATGGTAGTGGTAATAGTACTAGATATGGTGGTAGCAGTAATAATAGTACTAGTAATAGTGGTAGTAATAGCAGAATTTTTAATGGCAGTAAAAATAGTACTTGTAATGCCAATATATTCATAATGGTAGTGGTAGTAGTAGTAGTAGTAACAGTACTAGTAATGGTGATAATAGTATTAGTAACGGTGGTAGTAATAACAGTAATGTGGTAGTAGTATTCATACTAGTAACGGTTGTAATGGTAATATACAACTACTAATAGAGGTAATAGTAATGTGGTGGTAGTAATAGAAGCATAGAAATAGGAGTAGCAGTAAGAGTCGTAGCAGTGGTAATAATAGTAATACTAATATTAGCAGTAATGGTAGCAGCAGGAGTAATAGTAAGATTACCAGCAGTAATAGTAGTAATAGTAATAGTAATAGCAGTAGAAGTAATAGTAATAGCAGTAGCAGTAATAGTAATAGCATTAGTAATAGTAATAGCAGTAGTAGTAATAGTAATAGCAGTAGTAGTAATAGTAATAGCAGTAATAGCAATAGTAATAACAGTAATAATAGCAATAGAAATAGTAGTAATAGTAATAGCAGTAATAATAGTAATAGAAATAGTAGTAATAGTAATAGCAGTAGTAATAGTAATAGCAGTAATATCAATAGAAATAGTAGTAATAGTAATAGCAGTAATAATAGTAATAGAAATAGTAGTAATAGTAATAGCAGTAATAATAGTAATAGAAATAGTAGTAATAGTAATAGCAGTAGTAATAGTAATAGCAGTAATAATATCAATAGAAATAGTAGTAATAGTAATAGCAGTAATAATAGTAATAGAAATAGTAGTAATAGTAATAGTAATAATAATAGCAGTAATAATATCAATAGAAATAGTAGTAATAGTAATAGCAGTAATAATAGTAATAGAAATAGTAATAGTAATAGCAGTAATAATAGTAATAGAAATAGTAGTAATAGTAATAGCAGTAATAATAGTAATAGAAATAGTAGTAATAGTAATAGCAGTAATAATAATAATAGAAATAGTAGTAATAGTAATAGCAGTAACTGTAGTCTATGCAGACATACCATATACTTAAAAATAATAACTGATGCACTTTTAAAGGTCAGGTCTGAGCAGATTTATAATGGCATTAATATATTTAAAAATACAGTACGAGCATATTAGTTCATGTAAAATATATACATTAAAATGTATGTAACCTTAACATCTACTTAGAATTTATATATTACATACAGTAAGTGCAACAGTTTCTTTTAAAAGTACAAGTAATATCAAGACAAGAACAGTTTCTACTCTGTAATAATAATACTTACTATTAAATGAGTTTTTAATATAGACGAGATATGTATTAAGTGTAAAGTAGTAGTAGTAGGAGTAGCATTATATTACCAGCAGCAGTAATATTATATTACCAGCATCAGTAATATTATATTACCAGCAGCAGTAATATTATATTACCAGCAGCAGTATTATTATATTACCAGCAGCAGTAATATTATATTACCAGCAGCAGTAATATTATATTACCAGCAGCAGTAATATTATATTACCAGCATCAGTAATATTATATTACCAGCATCAGTAATATTATATTACCAGCAGCAGTATTATTATATTACCAGCATCAGTAATATTATATTACCAGCAGCAGTAATATTATATTACCAGCAGCAGTAATATTATATTACCAGCAGCAGTAATATTATATTACCAGCAGCAGTAATATTATATTACCAGCAGCAGTAATATTATATTACCAGCAGCAGTAATATTATATTACCAGCAGCAGTAATATTATATTAAAAGCAGCAGTAATATTATATTACCAGCAGCAGTAATTTATATTACCAGCAGCAGTAATATTATATTACCAGCAGCAGTAATTTATATTACCAGCAGCAGTAATATATATTCCCAGCACAGTAATTTATTTTAAACCAGCACATTAATATTATATTCCCAGCAGCAGTAATATTATATTACCAGCATCAGTAATTTATATTACCAGCAGCAGTAATTTATTATTACCAGCAGCAGTAATATTATATTACCAGCAGCAGTAATTTATATTACCAGCGGGCAGTAAATTTTTATATTAAACCAGCAGCAGTAATTTATATTACCAGCACAGTAATATTATTTTACCAGCATCAGTAATATTATATTACCGCACAGTAATTTATATTACCAGCAGCAGTAATTTTATATTACCAGCAGCAGTAATTTATTTTACCAGCAGCAGTAATTTTAATTCCAGCATCAGAATATTATATTACCAGCAGCAGTAATATTATATTACCACAGCATAGTTATATACCACACAGTAATATTATATTACCAGCAGCAGTAAAATTATATTACCAGCACAGTAATATTATATTACCACATCATAATATTATTTACCAGCATCAGTAATATTATATTCCAGCAGAAAGTAATATTATATTACCAGCAGCAGTAATATTATATCCCAGCAGCAGTAAGTATATATTACCAGCACAGTAATATTATATTACCAGCCAGTAATATATTACCACCCATCATTAATATTATATTAAACCAGCAGCAGTTTTTAAATTTTTATTACCGCATCAGAAATATTATATTACCAGCATCAGTAATATTATATTACCAGCAGCAGTATATTATATTACCAGCAGCAGTAATTTTATATTACCACACGTAATTTTATTACCAAGCATAGTAATATTATATTACCAACATCAGTAATATTATATTACCACATCAGAAAATTTATTATATTACCAACACATAATATTATTTACCAGCACAGTAATATTATATTACCAGCAGCAGTAATATATTAATATTTAACCAGCAGCAGTAATATATTACCACACAGTAATATTATATTACCACAAAAGTAATATTATATTCCCCAACATATATATTAAATATTATCCAGCAGCAGTAATATTATATTACCAGCAGCAGTAATATTATTTACCAGCGGGCCAGTAATATTATTATTACCAGCAGCAGTAATAAAATCCCAAACATCAGTAATATTATATTACCAGCAGCAGTAATATTATATTACCAGCAGCAGTAAATATTACCCAATTATTACCACATCAGTAATATTAAAAAAATTTAACCGCACAGTAATATTATATTCCCAAACATCAGTAATTTTATATTCCCAAACACAGTAATATTATATTACCACACAGTAATATTATATTACCAGCAGCAGTAAAATTATATTACCAGCAGCAGTAATATTATATTACCAGCAGCAGTAATATATTACCAGCATCAGTAATATTATATTACCAGCAGCAGTAATATATTACCAGCAGCAGTAATATTATATTACCAGCAGCAGTAATATTATATTACCAGCAGCAGTAATATATTACCAGCAGCATAGTAATTGCAACAATGGAAGTAATGAAAATAGTTATGTTAAGAACAGCATAGTTAATACTAGTAATAGGGAGAGCAGTAGAGTTAGTAGTAGAAATATTACTATGATTGCACATAAACTTTTTCCATATTGAGCTATTTTTCATTTCTTTTATAATATATAGAAAACAGATATGCCAAGGGATACGGTGGTTGGTAGAAGCCAGTACTGTCGTACAACGAAACTAAATTCCCACTTGGGTTGTTACGTCGGGGTTAATGGTTGGTTGGTAAGGTTTTGTCAGGAAACAGGACAAATGTTTGCTGACGCGGGTCTCAGTCATATGATGACCCGTCGCTGGAGTTTTTGGTCATCTGACCGAGGCCTTTCCCCTGGCTTACCGGTCCACCCTTTTTAAAAATTATGGTTAGAATTATAATCATTAAGTTTATTCGGGGTAATGACGAGGCTTTATGGTGTAGTCTCCTGTATGGTATTGGTCCAGTTCTGGCGGCTGTGATCCGCTGAGTGTCAAGGTCGCCCCTGCTTTCCCTTGCTAAACCGATGATGTCACCGCAATCAGAGTGGGTGGAGTCTCTGGTATAAACAGTGTATATATATATAAAGCCAGCGCCCACATTGCCAAAACATCAGCTACCTTCTCTCAGTACCGAACATGGCTTCCAAGGTAGTCTATGATGTGGTCAACTTTATTTTGTGGCTTCGCAACAAATACGTTCACAGTGAATTTTTCGGTAACAAGGAGCAGGTTTCATAGCAAATTTCCGTTGGTTTACAGGTTATCGTGATGATCGCCCTGGTGGCTGCTGCCTCAGCTGAGCTCCTTCCCCGCTACCAGCCATCAGTCCCCTCCTACGGCCCTCTAGGTCCTTACAATCATCCACGTCCATCCTACCACTCCCGTGAACCTACGGTAAGTTCCTTTGCTCAGTTGAAAGAGAGCAAAGCTGTACACTCTTCTTCGTATGCTCATTATTCAAGTTGCGCTTAGGGAGGTTGTGTTACGTTTACTAAACACTAAAAACACACACACACAAATAACCCGCACATAGAAGAGAGGAGCTTACGACGACGTTTCGGTCCGACTTTGTAAATGGTCCAAGTCGGACCGAAATGTCGTCGTAAGCTCCTCTCTTCTATGTGCGGGTTATTTGTGTGTCGTTCCAGTCACGGTATTGTGCCTTTCTGTTATTTACTAAAAACACAAAAGAATAAAATAAGTACTAGCTTATTGCTATCTTTAAGAATTCTCAGCTCTGAGCAGTTTGCTAGTTTCAATACTAATTCATTGTTTTCGTGAATAAGTTACTGATATATTGAACACTGAATAACAATATAATCAAAAGAGTAAGTCTATTGGTTGCTCGGTACTTTTGGGCAGTCAGGCGGATCAAAATACAACACCAGTGTAAAGTGAACCAGTGTAAGGCAACAAATTACAAGAAAGTTTATCAAAGACGGCACATAAAAATAACTAATATTTTTTATGATGAGTACTTTACCTGTTATTGTAAACATAAAAGAAATCTCTTTTAGAGGAAAGATATTTAAGGGAAATGAGGACAAAGAGTGAGAAGGAAAGGGGAAAATGATAAAGCAAAGGAGAAATAAAAGTTAAAATGTTAAAAGGAAGGAAAAGCAAAAATAAGTTAGAGTATCTACTTCATGTTCCCGGAAACATACGACAGAAAAGCCACTGAAGTTTCGCTTTAATCCGTTTTAAGTCCTTATCATTCGTCACTGTTTCTGTTTTATGTTATTTGCAATCTGTAGATTGTATAGTCGAGACCACTGAGTTCAAAAGCTTGTTAGAGGTAGGAATTTTACTTTCCCTTAATCTCTTATCTTATTTTTAAACAGATAAATCCAGAGTACAACTTCAGCTACGGCGTGAAGGACGACTACTCTGGCAGCAATTTCGGCCACGAAGAAACTCGTAATGGCTACGACACTCAGGGATCCTATTACGTCCATCTTCCTGACGGTCGACTGCAGAGGGTTTCCTACACTGTGAGTGGTGACTCCGGCTTCGTGGCTCAAGTTGAATACGTGGGAGAGGCCCAATACCCAGCCCACCAGCCCAGCTACCAACATGCCCCAAGTTACAGGCCAACACCCACCTACCAGCCCACCCCTGTCTATGGTTAACGTAATCATAAACTAATTCATGTATTTTTAAAGGAATTAAAAACACACATAAAGACTAACAAATTAATTAGTTGAATAAAGGTTGTATGCAAAAAATACCTTCCCAATAAAAATTTAATAGTCACTTTTTCACTTTGTTAAATTTAGCTTCGATGTTCCTGTGCTAGCAGACAATACCGTCTCTAATAGCGAACCCCATTGTTTACTTCGTGCCTCTCTACTAGACTGCCAACCGCTACAACATTCGCCTCTGTACTAGCTTACACCACTGTGTACAGTAACACACGCCAGCGTTTGCTTCCTGCCGCAGCTCCGTCATGGAGCCAACTGCACTACTGAACTGGTCATCAGATCACAAAGGCTGTATCCAGCACTTTTCCTGAAGAGCAGAATCGCTACAACTTCTCTGTATATAAGACAGTAACAAGCCACGTTCTAAACAGGCAGGATAAGAAACAAAAATATAAAATATTTATCTTCGTTCTGTTGACACATTAAACAAAGCTCAGATTGATAATGGTTGCACATCTTTATCTTTACAGGATATTAAACAAGAACTGGAGTGAATAAATTAATTTTTCATGCTCCATAGATCTAATATAAATCTGGTAAAAAGATAGAAAGATTTACAACCATTATCACTGTCAGAATTTTGTTTAACGGGTCTAAGAAACTTTGGTAAATATTTTATATTTATGTCTACTGCCCATAATTAAATACCAAATACGTCTTTAAGATATTGCGATTTTTAGTGTCCGTACAAATGTCAAGGCTGCATAACCTGGAGCTGTTGTATATTGTATTCTTGGCACCTGTCAAGGCTACCTACATACCAGGAAGCTGTGTTTATTACTGTCCCGTACACATCAAGGCTACATACACCGGGAGCTGTGTGTATATTATGTCCCGTACACCTGTCATGGCTACATACACCGGGAGCTGTGTGTATATTGTCTCGTACACCTGTCATGGCTACATACACCGGGAGCTGTGTGTATATTGTCTCGTTCACATGTCAAGGCTACTTACACCGGGAGCTGTGTGTATATTACTGTCCCGCACACATCAAGGCTACATAAACCGGGAGCTGTGTGTATATTACTGTCCCGTACACATCAAGGCTACATAAACCGGGAGCTGTGTGTATATTATGTCCCGTACACCTGTCACTGCTACATACACCGGGAGCTGTGTGTATATTGTCTCGTACACCTGTCAAGGCCACTTACACCGGGAGCTGTGTATATTATGTCCCGTACACCTGTCAAGGCTGCATATACCGGGAAGCGTATATCTTTTAGTGTCAGTATATATTGCCAGTTTATTTTAATCACTATACGTATTAGGGATTAGTGGATTACAGATTAATATAAACAAAACTAAGCGCTAAACCGCCGGGGACATACGGCGCTGATGTGGATTACAGATTACACGTAGCCTTAATAACCCCAGCGTTTATTTATCCTTGACTTTCTGAACTAATGAAGTTTTTTCCCCCAGGCTTCTTATATGAAAAGATAGGGGCAAGAACTGTGATCGTTCATTAACACAATCATATTCTTTTCACCCAGTAGCTTACGTTCAGGAAAAAATGTTTGCGTCATTAAGGCTGCAATCATCGTTAGCTACATCAAGAATGTTTTACTTTCTGCAGTAGGAATTGAAGTAAATTTACAACGAATATTAGTAGAAAAAATTGCTTTTTCAAGTAAACTGGCATTTTAATAAAGAATTCCATGGCAAAAAAATAGGGAGAAAATAAAATGGCGATTTTCCATTTCAAGAAAGAATCAAGGGAAAATCGCCAGATTCTTTTCTCCTTATTTATTGTCATGGAATTCTTTATTAAAACGCCAGTTTAATTGCAAAAGCAAATTTTCCACTAATATTCGTTGTAAATTTACTTCAGTCCTACTTCAGAAAGTAAAGCATTCATGATGTAGCTTACGATGACTGCAGCCTTAATGACCATCGTTTAGCGCCTGAAATGTAACAAATTCATAACTATAGGTAGACAAAACCACAAGACGGCGAACTTGATATGTAAACTTGTCATTTCTGTCTATCCTGAATCATTATCAAGATAAAGGAAAGTAAAGACTCGAGTCTTTTCAGAAGGCAGCCTCTGACGACAGGCTGGAAGAGGGCGAGCCAAAATGCCCAACTTCATTTTCGATTTGTGGCTTTATAGGTGACACCGTAAGTTGTAACTCAGGCCATTGTTTTTATGACTTGCTTTACTGTTTCTCTCGTGATCTTTAGATCTGTAGGTTATGTTTTTACTCTTATACAACAATATACACAGTTTTTCATTACATAATACAATAATTAGAGTACGAGGATGTTAGAAGCACATGTAACACATGTAAGCCACATCAGTATCATTATACTTGATAAATTTGACGCGTGTGCAACACTTGGGCATGTTTAATGAGGAAACTTTTCGCAACACAGTGGCTTTATCAGTCTTTTCAAGATTGATGGACTGATTACATCGACTCAAGGTTGAGGGACTGATTACTTCAAACTCCTCCTGTTCTTCACCATTCTCCTTTGTATGGACTGATGAAGCCACTGTGTGGCTAAACGTTTCCTCATTAAAGATACCCAAATGTTGCACATGCGTCTAATTTATCAACTTGTCGGTTCTATGAACCGTTCATCTACATCATTATACTTCTCATTGTTCTTCGAGATGCACACTCATTCTCTGCAATACAAATAATTGTTTATACAGGCGTGAAGGGCATACAAATGTGCGCCATAAACCTGAGTGTTGCAGGGAATGATGTAAAATGTATGCTAGGTCAACACTGGGATCTATCACGACTGATCCAGTGAGTAGTTGATCGTGAGCTCGAGGTCAGCCTAGAGCTTAAGCTGATCAATACATTGTTACTGGGGGGATAATCGCTAAATAAAAATTTTAGCTGTTGATAATGTTGGATTTGTTTCCAAATGTTGATGTAGTCAATATAGTTTCGATATTATTAATAAAGGAAACATTAGTGAACAATGACTAACGTATTTGTAACTCGTTCATTCCTTTAAAAATGGCATCACCATTTTCAGTGTATATATAAAATATAAAATAATTTTTATTCAAATGGCTTTCAGGAAGAAATCCAAATATTCTTTCTTGAAGCCTTTTTATCCACTTCTCCGAGGCTATGGGTCCCATAATTTACACCAGAGGTAAACCCCTTTCCAAATATAAAATATATATAAAATATATATAAAATACTTCCAATTAAGGCTCACCAAGGCTCGAGGGTTTGAAGGCGACCAAATAGGTCATTCTCTAGTTATTAAGTAGAACCCAATTTATTTTATAAAATTAGAATTTAGAATATACATAACAGAGTGAAAGCCAAACTTTATAATAAATTTCATCAACACATCAATCTTGTTGCATTTAAAAAAAAAAGAAAAAGGCATTCTCCAGAGGAGAATAAATATCACTATAAAAAAACGAAAATTATGAGTTATGAAACCCAGTAATAACGAGAAACTTGCTTTGTGAAAAACACATCAGGGCGGAAAAATTGAAGCCGATCGAAACACACATTCTCCAGTTTTCACACGGACTCTAGCGATACCAAATCTTCTAAAAAAAAAAATTAGTGCACACAGCAAACTAAACTTAAGTCCTGTCCTGGCTGCAAAACGCATCTGCTATTAAATACTGAAGCCGTTTTAACAGGTAAATATAAATCTATGAATATGTTTAACATAATTTAATGGCAACTAAAATTTCACACTGTTTTACACATAAAATTGACAGATGTGCTCCTATATTCTTGAATTTAACTCCCCCCTCCCCCCGCATCTTCAGATTACGATGCACCTTCACTGAATGTCTGAAGCTACGCTGCAGAGGGTTTTAAAAGTTATCGGGGCCATTCCAGGATGCTAGGATGCGCCCTACAACTTTGCTCATAGCAGAATCAGTGCCTACTTACCGTACACCAACATTCAAAATTTGAAGCCGATCGGACGACCCCTTGCGTTACGAGTGAAATATAAATGAAAAGTAGGAAAAAAAACTGCCAACCACTTAACGGTACCCTTGGAGGACGCCAGAGGACACCAGAACCTGGTCTCGTGAAAGTACTCCAGTGACATAAACAAGAAGGTCTCGTGTCTGAGGCGCATTTTCCTTCCTTTCAATGTAATAACGAGGCAGACAATGCTGAGGAGTGTGGAATTGGGGTCAGGGATCTACAGTAAATCGATCATCACAATGGCTTCCATTCAGGTCACCGTCGCAATCTCTGCTTAATATTTATTTCTCCTTCCGTAGATTATTCACTCTTAGCCTGACTGGCTGCCTGATTAGCCAGGCCATAACACGATAAGTAGATGAAGATTCGAAGTTCCTCCAGTCCTGGAGCTGAATGAAACTCAAGGGTTAATGGCTTCTGTTAATATGACGTGATGGCAATGTCCATCAACATGTCAACATGTTCATCGTTCATTCTGTCGTAAAAATGTTCACTGTTCATCTTTCACTGTGATAAATGGTTTAGAAAACTGATAAATTGAATGAAGATACTTGTAGAACATTCATTCTTTTGTATGTTCATTGTTCATCCAGCATTGATCATGTTAACTCTTCACCATGTAGTGAACATGTTAATTCTTCACCATGTAGTGAACATGTTAACTCTTCTTCCCAGAGTTAACTTGAGTTTGTCCCGTAATAAATACTTTCACTCTTCTCACGGTGAATATGTTCATTGTTCACCTAAAAGAAGAAATGTTCACTATTCACCCTACAGCAAATATGTTCACTGTTCATCCTACAGTGAACATACTTTCCGTTCATAACACAGTACACACGTTCACTGATCATTCACTGAAGATGTTTATTGTTCCTCATCCAGTGAATACTTTCACTGTACACACTACAGTGAACATGTTCATTATTCATCGTACACTGAATATGTTCGCTTCACAACGTACAGTGAAGATGTTCACTGTTCATCAACACACATGTTCACTATTTATCTTGCAAGGAAGTACTAGTGTTATCAAGACTAACGTTCTTACGTTATTAAGAGTACAGTACAAGCGTTATCAGGAGTACTTATATTATCAAGAGTACAGCACTTCTGTTATCAGTAGCATTTGCTATCAAGAGTACAGAACGCGTTTGCTCACACCAAAAGAACAATACTCTTCTTTACACATCAGGAGTACAGTACCTTATCAAAGAGGGGATAGTCTGAGCAATAGTTCAACCATTTGCGTTGGTTGCGTTTGCGTTAGTTCGTTCGTTCAATATCGTTGCCCTTTTCCGCTTTCAGAGTCGTTGAGGTCACAGGAAGACAGGCGGAATCACTGGTATAAAATGGCTCTAACGTTTATTGCTATACGCCACTCTTTCCT